GTGGTCATGTGCTCGTTGAGGTGGCAGTCCTTCCGGTAAGTCGTCGGGGAAAATCCCGGGGTATTGTTTCAACAGTTCCTGTAATTCGGGCGGTACAGCTGCCAGCAATTTCTTGAAATCACTCGGCTGCTCTGCTTCCTCTACTACTGCGATGTCTACTGCGTACACGTCAGCTCCAGCAGCGACAACCCATTTCATTGTGATGGCGTTGACGTGTACCTTGATGACTCGGGCGGCCAGCGAGTTAGCTCAACCTAGTTACCACTACTTCGCACGGTGCAGCTACCCATCGTCCAGTCAATTCGCCGGTTATACCGTCGCAGCCAATCACGTCCTAGTAAAATATCGTGCCCATCCAGTGTCGTTGCGAGCATTTCCTGTGTAAACCCGAAATTTCCCCTGCAGCGGACTTTGACTCTTTCTACCTTTTCCGGTATGGCCAGTGGCGTGCCGTCGACTAAGCGTGCGTCTATCTCCGGTAAACAGCGGCTAAGTGTCAGTTGCAGTTTTCGTGCGATTGCGGTATTAACTAAACTGTGGCTTGCTCCTCCGTCGATAAAAATCTTCACTGTTGCTCCCTGTATTTTCCCGTGGATCAGTACTAGGCAATCCGTCGTTGTACCCTCCTTATTCATCCGAGTCCGATCGATAGCATGAATCGGTACAGTGACTCGGTGAGGGTCGGTGGGGTTGGGCGAGCAGGCAGTCTCGTCAGTAGTTGGCCCGATTCCTATTGACTGTTGGTGTTTCCCTGCTTTGGAGACTCCCTCCCCTGCTCTGCTCCGCGGCGCCTTAGCTCCTCTGGGCATTCGCTCTTGCGATGGCCCGGCCTGTTGCAAGCAAAGCAGCGCCCCTTAAACGGTGCGGCAGCTGGATTCGTCGCAACAGCGTGTACAGTGGCGTGCTCGATCGGTCCCCGATGACAATGTCCATAGTAGGACCCCGGTCTCGGACGACGTAAAATGTCGATTTTCTCGGCGAGCGCGGGAATCTCATTGAAGTTCGAGAGCCCTCGTAGCATGATTTCGTGCGAGATGTCCGGCTTCAGCCCTCCGACGTAACGGTCCACCCGCTCCGCTTCGTGCATATAGCCGACTTGCTCACAAAATGCGAGAAAACCACTCGTATAGTCTTGAACTGATCCAAGCTGCCGCCAAGTGTGCAATCTCTGACGCGCCGAAATAGAAGCCGCGATCGGCTCGAAGCGCACCTGAAGCCCTGCGCACCACGCATCCCACGTGCTGTATTGGGCGGTCTCGTAGAATGAACTCCAGGTGAGAGCTGGGCCCGTGGGACCTTCCTCTTGCGACGGTGGCTCGTAGGCGCGTGGCGACGTCACGATGACTCGCCACCAGTCCATGGGGGGGCCCCTTAGCAGCGAAACGTCATACCGAATCTTCGCTACGTCCGACTCGACGTAATTTGCGTCGAAGAAGACGTCCATCGTGAAGACCCACGACTGAACCGTCGGACCTCCACGCTGGCTCGGGTTGAAGCAGGGCGGGCGTTGCGGCTTGAGTGGCATTGGTGCGACCCTGTTTCCTCCCATGCCAGGCATTGGCTGGGCGGCGCCATCGTTGGCTGCGCCTGAGCGCTGTCCCACGCTGTTGTTTTGTATTGGTGTGTTGGACGAGATGATGATCGGCTCGTGTGATTGTGCAGATGCATTTGTCGGTGCGTGTGGTGGCGCTAGAGTGTTCATCGTTGTTTGCTGATGCGCGGAGTCACGTTCTGCCGTGAGCGTCGCAATTTCGAGCGCCGAATCTTCAAGTTGGCGCACCGGACGGTCGAGCTGCCCCTGCGTCAATGTGGCGAGCGTGAACTCGGCCATGGCGGGGGTGTCGGGCGAGCTCAGCGAGAGCCTCGGTGGTGGCCATGCGTGCTTTCGAGAGAGCACTACGAGCGGCGGTGCTGTGTCGCTGAGAGACATCTACCCCCCCCCCCCCCCCCAAAATTGAGATAGTGGGAAGCGAAGGTGTGGGTGCGGTCCGAGAGGAGATCGTAGGCTCTGATAACCAGGTGTTACGAGTGCAATTGAGTGAACGAACGAGAATTGCACTATCGAAGCAAGAGTACAATGAGCGAAGGCATGAGCGAAGAATATATAGCGAAACTACAGTGGTAACGGTAATGGACTGTGGTTGTCGCGCGACGGGCCTGGGACTGAGGTTGGGAAAAAGTGTCGAAGCGGAGGCCCGGAGCGCGGGTTACCCGCCGAGCCGTGAGGTCGGGGTGCGATGTGCGAAGGTGGCAGGCGGATTGTCGATGCGAGGGTGGCGAGTGGTAACGGTGCTGACTGTGGTGCTACAGTGATGTACGCGTTGAGCAGGGATGCGAAGGAAAAGGAATTTTCCTTACAACACCAAAGCACAACGATAAGTAATTTGATTCCATCTAAGCGTGACACTGGGCGTTGTTCTGCAGGCGTTTCGGGTTCCGCACCAAATTGACCGCGGTAGCCTTCCGTGCATTTTCTAGGCGCATTCATGCTGGTTGCGTTGCGCGGATGTTGCTGCCTCGCAGAACATGTGCGGAGGCTGAAGCTAGCTCTCCAGGTAGAATTAGCACCGCACTAGTTGTGCGGCCATTTGCCCGGCGAAGCAACAACTTCGAACCTGCAGACGGTCAAATTCGTGCGCCCCATAAATGGCGTTCTGCAGGCTGATGCGTTAAATTTGGCGCAAACAGGTTCGGCAGGACCTTTCTTATCACCAAACCTTGATAGGCAGAAGACCACTTATCAACAAAGATTCTGCGGACCCAGTTTTTGGAATTTTAACGCCTACAGAACAGCGCCTGTATGGAGTTCTCGTAAGCCAGAGTCTCGGCAGCCGCAGGGAAGGGAAAATCCAGGCAAGACTTCCGCAAACGGAGTATCCTGAGCTGCGTCCCGATTGGTCAGGGATCATGCTACGACGGTAGGCGAATCCAGACTGTCATAAATGGCGCCGACGCCGCATAAATCCCGATTGAACAATCCAGACCGCGCCGACGCCGCTTAAATGGCGCCGCCAAAGCCAATCACGATGCAGCTGCGAGCATGGCTTGCACTTTTCGCCGCGCTCTGGCTTGCTGCCTTCGTCTCACAGTGCCATGCGCAAGCAGCAGTGATCAACTCTACTCAAGGTGCCTCCCTCCTTCCTTGAACCAATTCTTTACCAGTACAGGTAATACCACCCGACCAAATACTTCTCTGGTTCTTGGTTATCCAATTTGAGGCAATCGAACATAGTGTTGAAGCCGGTTATTCAGCGGGGTAGGGGGAGACCCATCATCAAAAGGGCGTTTTTTGATTATCTATCGCAGGCGCGTTGCTTGGTAAGCAACTTCCGCGGATTAGGGTTAGTAGTTATTATAGCAACTACGGATAACAGGAGCCTTCCTTCGTTATCCAGAGCATCATGCGAGGGCAGCAGAGACGTTCCTGGCAAAGCTGATCCTTTGATTCATTCCTAGCGCAGGTTGTATACATCATTTACAGGTGTTACAAAGCAGCCTAGGCTGTATGTACTCATCAGCTTGTGCCTCTCTGGTCCTTGCATTATTAGAGCCGGCAGTATACAGGCATACAGGTGAGTACATTTGTAACCAAGCAGTAACAGCCTACGCTGTATCTCCTCATCAGCGTAGGCTGATGACGGGTACAACAGAAGGTCACGGAGGCTGGAATCTCCCTAGGTACCTACCCCTCTGGGATCTAGAGAAGAGACCGGGTGGGAGGCTCTACTCTAGAAGGTGAAACAAGTCGGCTGCACACAGTGGTTAGAGATATGGGGCAGGGCCGCGACGTGTGCGTTCAGAGGTATGGAGCAGGGCTGCGACGTGTGCGTTCAGAGGTATGGGGCAGGCCACATAGCGGCTGGTGAGCAAGAGGCAGAGCCGGGGTTTCATTTTGGCACATTGCATGAGGCATTGGAAGTGGCTCCAATGCTGCACCCTGCCTGCTGCTGCGCCCAACCGTTGGGTGTAAGGCTCACACGGAGGAAAGCAGGACCGGGTTGGGTCCAGGCCCGATGGGGTCCGTTTCAGCGAGCATTGGACCGTGGAGTCCGTGTGGCGAGAGGGGAACTTGCAAGGAAAGGAGGACCGGGTGACTGGGTCCGGTCCAGACCGCCGAGCCGCGCACTTGGATGGGTCTCAGTAAGGTTGTGTAGAGGGCTGTCTAAGGCAACGGCCTCAGTAAGGTCAGTGAAAGCTCCTGAACACGCTGCGGCATCACCCATGCGATGTAAGAAGACAACGCCTGGTGGGTGTGCGTCGATGGTGGTTTCCACCAGCGAGCGAGCGTTAGATACTTGCCGCAACGTGGCTGCTCGCCCGTTGGGTGTTTCAGGTGATGGCGGGCTGTGAGGAATGTGTGACCCGGTCTGGGTTGGGGTGGCTGCTCGCCCGTTGGGTGTTTCAGGTGATGGCGGGCTGTGAGGAATGTGTGACCCGGTCTGGGTTGGGGTGGCTGCTCGCCTGTTGGGTGTTTCAGGTGATAGCGGGCTGTGAGAAAAGTGTGAGGAGGCCTGCTCGGCTGCTCCACTGTTGGGAGCTCAACCGCCTGTGTTAAAGATGTGTGGCTAAATGTGGCAATTGCAGAGCACCGGATACTCAAAGGGTGCGCCAGAGGGTCCGGCCCCTACACCGTAGGGACACTTGACCTGTGAGAAATGTGTGACCCAGTCCGGGGTGGTTGCTTCGTCGTTGGGCGTCTGGACTGCAGAGCAGCCAGTGTTTCAGGTGATGGCGGGGAAATGGGCGCGAGTAATAGTCCGTTCTTGGGGCAACGCGAGATGCTCTGCTTCCAGGAACGAGTGGATGGAAAGAGCAACGGCTCAAGGCGCAATATGCTCTGTTGATTGAACTTTTGAGAATTCTTAAATGCTCTGCTTCCAGGAACGAGTGGATGGAAAGAGCAACGGCTCCACTTGTGTGCGGCGGCGGGTGGGTGTGCGGCGGCGGGTGAGTGTGCGGCGGCGGTTTTCATTTGCGAGCGTTGGACGCTTGCCCGCCGCTCAGTAGCGTTGCAGCTCTGAATGCATGGTCGAGGAATAGTCGGGCGGGCGTGGCGTAGGTGAGTCACACGAGGAGGTGGCCTGGGCAGACTGCCGTGACTGGGCAGACTGCCGTGACTGGGCAGACTGCTGTGACTGGGCAGACTGCTGTGACTGTGCAGACTGCTGTGACTGTGCAGACTGCTGTGACTGTGGAGACTGCTGGACTGCTTTGACTGTGCAGACTGATGTGACTGGGCAGACTGCTGTGACTGGGCAGACTGCTGTGACTGGGCAGACTGCTGTGACTGGGCAGACTGCTGTGACTGGGCAGACTGCTGTGACTGGGAAGACTGCTGTGACTGTGCAGACTGCTGTGACTGGGCAGACTGCTGTGACTGGGCAGACTGCTGTGACTGTGCAGACTGCTGTGACTGGGCAGACTGCTGTGACTGGGCAGACTGCTGTGACTGGGCAGACTGCTGTGACTGGGAAGACTGCTGTGACTGTGCAGACTGCTGTGACTGGGCAGACTGCTGTGACTGGGCAGACTGCTGTGACTGGGCAGACTGCTGTGACTTGGCAGACTGCTGTGACTGGGAAGACTGCTGTGACTGTGCAGACTGCTGTGACTGTGCAGACTGCTGTGACTGGGCAGACTGCTGTGACTGGGCAGACTGCTGTGACTGGGCAGACTGCTGTGACTGCCTGTGACTGGGCAGACTGCTGTGACTGGTCAGGCTGCTGTGACTGGGCAGACTGCTGTGACTGGGCAGACTGCTGTGACTGGGCAGACTGCTGTGACTGGGCAGACTGCTGTGACTGGGCAGACTGCTGTGACTGGGCAGACTGCTGTGACTGGGCAGACTGCTGTGACTGGGCAGACTGCTGTGACTGGGCAGACTGCTGTGACTGGGCAGACTGCTGTGACTGGGCAGACTGCTGTGACTGGGCCAGGTTTCCTTGTTTAGCGAGTCTCTCCACTCTCGCGAGGATGCCAGTGGCATCGTCAGTCAGCCTGTCTTGGGGGTGGAGGGAGTTGCGTTCTGGCAGCTGCGTCAATCAAGGTAGCGATTTCTGGCGAGTATTTTGTCCCTGTGATGGAAATGAAGCACTCTGGTTGCCATTGCCTGCCAATCAGGGCAGCGAGCGCTGGAGTTTCGGAGGATAAGGGTGCGGGATAAATTCGAGTAGACACCATGCTTCCGTGGAGTCTGGTTTGGTTGAAAGGTGTATGAGCAGTGCCAGGAGTCAGGAAGCAAATGCTTAGCAATGTGAGCGAAGGGGATGGCAAGCCGGTGCTGGCTGGCGACCGGGCTTGAGCATGATGCCCGGCTGGGTCGGGTCGACCCGTGACCCGAGCGCGGGGAATGGCAAGCCGGTGGTGGCTGGCGACTGTCGAAATGGGGCATCAGGTGACAGGTCCCATCTGGCCTGGCCAAGTCGATAGGCGCCAAGATCCATTTCGCGAACAAATTCTGGTGCGAAGCCAAGTCGCGCGGGGAGACAATGTTGGGGTCAGGTTCAGGCGGTGAACTTCAGAAACATTTGTGACCCGACCCGGCACATGCTTTGGGGTTGGGACCAGACCAGGCACGGCTCGCGGAATCGGAGCAGATTGCGGAGTGCAATCACGTTCTCGGCTATGTGGAGAAAGACGCTCAGGTTCCCGGCGTGCGCCTGGAGGATAGAGGGTTGACTTTTAAGTCGACTCAGGAGTGCAATTACGTTCTCGGCCGTGTGGAAAAAGACTCTCAGGTTCCCGGCGTGCGCCTGGAGGATGGAGGGGGCAGAGGGCCCATCCTCCTGGCCCGGCTGTGGTGGCAGCGACCGCCGCGGCAACGGCAACTCTTGAAGCGCTGCCGGGTTTGGTTCTGCGGATGGCGCGGCCGCAAGTGCCAGTGGTGCCAACGGTGGGGCAGGCAGCCCCCTCCTTTTGAGTCGACTCAAGTGCAGAGCCGTGGCATTGGCAGCTCTTGAGGCGCTGCCGGGTGTGGTTCTGCCGGTGGCGCGGCCGGGTGTGCTAGTGGTGCCAACGGTGGAGCAGGCATCCCCCTCCTTTTGAGTCGAATCAAAAGCAGACAGCCGTGGCAACGGCAGCTCCTGAGGCGCTGCCGGGTGTGGTTCTGCCGATGGTGCGGCCGGAAATGCCAGTGGTGCCAACGGTGGAGCAGGCAGCCGCCTCCTCCTCATGATCTCTCCGGCGCAGCTGGTGCCCCACCGTTGTGCCAACGGTTGGCACTGAAGAGCCGCCAACGGTGGGGCAGGCAGGCAGGCAGGCAGGCTCCTCATGATCTCTCCGGCGGAGCTGGTGCCCTCTGGAGGTCCGCAGCCGCTCCCTCGCGGTCCGCCATGCTCTTAAACCTCCGTAGGCGAGCGGAGGGCGGCGACTCCTGTTGGTGGGCCATCCGTGTTTCATCCCTTTGTGATCTCTGGAGGTCCAGCAGTCGCCCCCTCATTCTGCCGCAGCCGCTCCCTTGCGGTCCGCCATGCTCTTTACCTCCGTAGGCGAGCGGAGGGCGACTCCTGCTGTTCAGAGGTATGGGGCAGGCCAGCGACGTGTGAGGTCTGCTCTGCCATGCGTAGATAGGTTATTTTTGAGACGTCTCAAAAATAACTTATTTAGACGAGCTGTTCAGAGGTATGAGGCAGGCCAGCAACGTGTGAGGGCTGCCATGCCATGCCATGCCATGCCATGCCATGCCATGCCATGCCATGCCATGCCATGCCATGTACCCGTAGACGAGTGGAGGGCAGCGACTCCTGTTGGTGGGTGGGCCACCTGTGTGTCATTTGAGACGTCTCAAAAGACGTGTGAGGTCTGCTCTGCCATGCCCTTAACCTCTGTAGGCGAGTGGAGGGCAGCGACTCCTGTTGGTGGCCCACCTGTGTGTCATTTCATTTCATCCCTTTGTGCTCGCCGAAGGGAGGCCTCATCTCGCTCATCCGCCGTTGATGCTCCTGTCCCCCCCCGGTGCTTTCTCTCCATTGCTCTCTCCTCTTTCTCCCTGTCCCCCAACTGCCAGCGGTGTTTCTCGAGGACTGCGAGAAGGCATGGGGAAAGACGCTCCCAGGCTGGGCCGTGGGTGCTACCTGTGGCAATGTTGGAGTCACATGCGACGCTTCAGGCATGATTCCCCCTGTCCCCCAACCCAACTGCCAGCGGTGTTTCTCGAAGACTGTCAGAAGGCGTGGGGAAAGACACTCCCAGGCTGGGCCGTGGGTTTCACTCTCTATTGCTCCCTCCTTTGCTTCCCTCCCCTCCTGTCCCCCAACTACCAGCAGTGTTTCTCGAGGACTGTCAGAAGGTATGGGGGAAGACGCTTCCAGGCTGGGCCAGGAGTGCTACCTGTGGCAGGAGTGTCGAACTCACCTGCCACGTCGTGCCCAGCCCTCAATCTCTCTCTCACTCTCTCCTCTCTCCTCTTTTCCCTTGTCCCCCAACTGCCAGTGGTGTTCCTCAAGGACTGCCAGCCAGAAGGCATGGGGAAAGACGCTCCCAGGCTGGACCGTGGGTGCTACCTGTGGCAATGTTGGAGTCACATGCGACGCTTCAGGCATGATTCCGCCTGTCCCCCAACCCAACTGCCAGCGGTGTTTCTCGAGGACTGTCAGAAGGCATGAGAGAGGACGCTCCCAGGGTGGACCAGAGGTGCTGACTGAAGGCTCACCTTGTGCCCTCCCTCTCTCCTCTCTCCTCTCCTTGTGTGTGCCTCTCTCTCTCTCTGCCCTTCTGTTCCCCAACTGCCAGCGGCGTTTCTCGAGGACTGTCAGAAGGCATGGGGGAAGACTCTCGCAGTCTGGACCGTGGGATTTACTCTCGATTTCTCTCTCCTTCGCTTCCCTCCTGTCCCCCAACTGCCAGCGGTGTGTCTCAAGGACTGCGAGAAGGCATGGGGAAAGACGCTCCCAGGCTGGGCCGTGGGTGCTACCTGTGGCAATGTTGGAGTCACATGCGACGCTTCAGGCATGATTCCCCCTGTCCCCCAACCCAACTGCCAGCGGTGTTTCTCGAGGACTGTCAGAAGGCGTGGGGGAAAGATGCTCCCAGGCTGGGCCGTGGGTGCTACCTATCCCTCTCTCTCCCTCTCTCTCTCTCTCTCTCTCTCTCTCTCTCTCTCTCTCTCTCTCTCTCTCTCTCTCTCTCTCTCTCTCTCTCTCTCTCTCTCTCTCTCTCTCTCTCTCTCTCTCTCTCTCTCTCTCTCTCTCTCTCTCTCTCTCTCTCTTATTCTCTCTCCTCTCCTGTCCCCCAACTGCCAGCGGTGTTTCTCGAGGACTGTCAGAAGGCATGGGGGAAGGCGCTCCCAGGCTGGGCCAGGGGTGCTTATTGTGACGAGATTAGCGGAGTCAGCTGCGACAGTGCAGGCATGATCACAGTGATGTACGTTTATGTGCTGTCGTTTGATAATGTATCGTTAAGTTTGGATTGGACATGCTGATGGTGTACACATGGGTGCTACATGTGGCACGATCAGCGGGGTCAGCTGTGACGGTGCAGGCATGATTACAATGATGTACGTGTGATGATGTACGTGTGATGATGTACGTGTGATGATGTACGTGTGATGATGTACGTGTGATGATGACCACACTTGGCGGTGGCGCATGATAATGGGTGCTACATGATGATCACATGTTGCACCATTACCGGGGTCAGCTGTGACGGTTTAGCCATGATCTCAATGATGTACGTGTGGTAATGTATTGTCAAGGTTGGATTGAACCTCACACCACACATTCTGCTGGATTGGGTTGGCTTGCTTTGGTTGATGCCCAATGCCTGCGTCCAGGTTTGCGCCTTCACTTTCAAGTCTACATGATTACATGTGGCACTATTACCGGGGTCATCTGGGACGGTTTAGGCATGATTACAATGATGTACGAGTGGTAATGTACTGTTAAGTCTGGATTGGCTGGATTGGACCCACACATGCTGCTGCTGGTGTCCTGCAGGCTTGCTCTGATTGATGCCCGATGCCTGCGGTCGAGGTTGCGCCTTCACTTTCAAGTCGTCGTGTTACTTCACCCATTGAAAGTGTTTTCGTCCACCTTTGTTCAACCCACCCTCCCACCCCACATAGATCTCTGAAGAACCAAACTCTCAATGGGTCTATTCCTGACAGCATCTCCTCTCTCACTTCACTATCTGACCTGTAAGAACCTCACAGATAAACTATGAAGCATATTGATTTACAGGTAGAGAAGGGCACGTCGGCAAAGGATAACAACAAAAATGCAACACGGCAGTCACATATCAACCTCGGTTGTTGCATCCTTTGAGGCGCCTCAAAACACGGCAGTCACATATCAACCTCGGTTGTTGCATCCTTTGAGGCGCCTCAAAACACGGCAGTCACATATCAACCTCGGTTGTTGCATCCTTTGAGGCGCCTCAAAACACGGCAGTCACATATCAACCTCGGTTGTTGCATCCAATCCAACGAAGTTCAGTCGTATGAAATCCCAACACCAATAACTTTCCCGCTTCAGATTTCTTCGTCCCATCTGAATGTCCTCACCTCACCCTTTGTTTGCCCCTCTTACCCTTGCACTTCTCATGCCTTGTTCTCCTCTGGATGCTACACAAAGCTTCCCACCATGCTCGTACCATCACCCTCTTGGGTTGCTTGTCTGTGCTTGCTGTCCGTCAGCCCATTCCCACTAATCTCATCTCCTCACTTCTTTCGCCCCAACTCCCCCCCCCCCCCCTCCCTCTCTCTCTCCTCTCCCCCTTTCCCCCCATGCACAGAACTCTTACAAACAACAATTTGATTGGCTCCATCCCCAACAGCATCTCTGGGCTTTCTCAGCTCACCTTCCTGTATGAACCACCTCGTTTCAGCCTGGTGATCAGCACGAACATGACCAAAGATGGCATGAAGCCTAAAACCCTCGAGAGAATATTCGCAGCCACATAACCTAGATAGGGATGAGCAAGGTGGCGAACACCTGTTCGGTTCGCCTCGAACGTGTTCGAGGCGAACCGAACAGGTTTTGTTTTTTAGCTCAAATCGTTCGCCGAACAGTGTTCGATGTTCGCCCGAACACGTTCGTGTTCGGGCCGCTGCTGAAATTTGCCCGCGACGAACACGAACAGTGTTCGAGGTTCGCCCGAACACGCCTCCACAGGCGAACAGCGAACACCTGTTTTTTCCTAAACTGTTCGCCGAACTGAACAGTGTTCGGTTCGGCAAAAGAGGGTGTTCGACAAGGGGCGAAGACGAACATGTTCGTGTTCGCCCTTTGCTCATCCCTAAACCTAGATGCGACACGCAAGGAAGAAAGCAAGGAGTTTCGGGTAATCAGAACGTGGGCATATAGCTCACGTGGGAAGAAAGCAAGGAAGAATGCATATGGCCTCGAATTGGAATGCATATGGCCTGGAATTGGAACCATTAGCCTCGATTTGAACTGCTCCCATCATCCTCGTCTCTCTCATCCCTCACTTGGGTCGACCGTGTGGTGTTCTTGCTGTCGCTCAGACCATGCCCTCTATTCTCATTTCATCACTTATTCCGCCCCAACCCATACCACACACACACAGGGATCTTTCAGACAACTCTTTCACGGGCTCCATTCCCAGTGGCATTCACTTGCTTCCTCAGCTCTCTTATCTGTATGAAGCTCGTCTCAAGGGATGCACACACATGCTCGTCTCATCACCCTCTTGTGTGCTCGTATCATCTTAGGAAGCTTCTCTTATCAGGGAAGTGAGATTCGGTTGTCACTCATGCCTGTCTGTCTCCCACCATGATCGTACCATCCCCCAATTGGGTCAATCGTGGGTGCTTGCTGTCGCCCAGTCTAGGCTCCCTTTTTAAGGGCAACGGACAAACGCCTTCTGAGGAGAACCGGGCAGGTCATTTTTGTTTTGCCCTTTTTGTTCGGGTCGACTGTGTCCTCCCCCAATTGGGTCAATCGTGTGTGCTTGCTGTCGCTCAGTTCGGTCTAGGCTTGGGGTAGAGAGTCCCACAGCTGTTCGGTTCACCTCAAACATGTTTGAGGCGAACCGAACATGACTTTTCCTTTTCCACTGTATGTTTGGGTCGAAGATGTTCGTGTTCGACATTGGCCGAAACTCCATACGGGCGCCGATGATTCGTTGCGCGTGCACCTATCAATGTCGCGCGCACTTCCAGTTGCTGTAAGTGCGGACGTAGCGGACCAGGTGGCGTTAACGTTCCAGCGTGGGGTGCGCGCCCTGTTGCGGATCCAGAATTATTCGATGCCTTAAAGTATAGCCTCTCTTAGTTTATGCACGCTTGTAGCCCAATTTCGTGGCTAACAAGGTGAGGTTATGTAAAACGTGCTTCTAGAAAGCAAAAGTTTGCACAAGAGAGTGGTACTGGTTCTAGACTAGAACTGGCAGGCAGGACGACAATTTCGAGGGTAAAAATTAACTCTTCGCAAGGGGCGAAGCGTTACCTGTAACCGGGTCAGGTATGACCGACCTGAACACGAGACTCGACCCGCCTTCGGGTCTGGTAAACCCAACCCGACGGGTCGCCGATACCCGCGCGAAAAGGGGCCCCACGAGTAGTGGGTCGACCCGAACCGTCTGGGTAAACCCGACCTGACCCGGTCGGGTCAGATGCAAACACCGTACAGACCTGACCCGGCCTATTGACAGGGCAGGTAGGTAGGTTCACCCGATCCGTCCTCGTCAGATGCCCAAGCCTAGTTCATGTTCAGTCAATGCCCTCTATTCCCATCTCCTCATTTATTCGACCCCAACCCATACCATGCACATGCAGGTCTCTTTCTAACAACCGTTTGACGGGCTCCATTCCGAGCAAGATATTCACAATCCGTCAGCTCGCGTATCTGTATGGCGCTCCTCGTTTAAGGCTGGAGCTAAGCACACACGATGGTCACACCTAGAGTGGGCTTTGTAGTGGTTTCTTCAACTCCATCACTTAGAAGTCCCTTCGTATCGTCTGGTTTAGAGTGCTGCTTGCATTCCGGGCCTCAGCCCCAACGCATATTTTCTACTGAGGCTACTATGAGGATTGCTTCTATTCTGTTATAGGGTCGAGGGTTGAGGGTTTATCTGTACGATGCACCTCGTTGTGCACATCACATCAAACATGTCGACACCCATCAAACATGTCAACACCCATCAAACATGTCAACACCCATCAAACATGTCAACGCCCATCAAACATGTCGGCACCCATCAAACATGTCAACACCCATCAAACATGTCGGCACCCATCAAACATGTCAACACCCATCAAACATGTCAACACCCATCAAACATGTCAACACTCATCAAACATGTCAACACCCATCAAACATGTCAACACCCATCAAACATGTCAACACCCATCAAACATGTCAACACCCATCAAACATGTCGGCACCCATCAAACATGTCAACACCCATCAAACATGTCAACACCCATCAAACATGTCAACACTCATCAAACATGTCAACACCCATCAAACATGTCGACACCCATCAAACATGTCAACACCCATCAAACATGTCAACACCCATCAAACATGTCAACACCCATCAAACATGTCAACACCCATCAAACATGTCAGGAAGGGATGAGCATCAAACCCATGAGCAGGGTTTAGCACGGTTCCAACCAGGTTTGGATGTTTGCATGCTTGGATGGTCCAAGATGGTCAGCCACACGCTTAACCGTATGCTAGCGTGATAAGCCACACTCTTACCACGCTCTATGCTAGCAGCTAGCGTGATAAGCCACACGCTTACCACGCTCTATGCTAGCAGCTAGCGTGATAAGCCACACGCTTACCACGCTCTATGCTAGCAGCTAGCGTGATAAGCCACACGCTTACCACGCTGTATGCTAGCAGCTAGCGTGATAAGCCACACGCTTATCACGCCGTATGCTAGCAGCTAGCATGATAATCCACACGCTTATCCCGCTGTATGCTAGCAGCTAGCGTGATATTTCACACGCGTATCACGCTGTATGCTAGCAGCTAGCGTGATAATCCACACGCTTATCACGCTGTACACTAGCAGCTAGCGTGATAAGCCACACGCTTATCACGCTGTATGCTAGCAGCTAGAGTGATAATCCACACGCTTATCACGCTGTATGCTAGCAGCTATCGCGATAACCCACACGCTTATCACGCTGTTTGCTAGCAGCTAGCGTGATAATCCATACGCTTATCACGCTGTATGCTAATCCACACGCCTATCACGCTGTATGCTAGCAGCTAGCGTGATAATCCACACACTTATCATGCTGTATGCTAGCTGCTAGCGTGATAATCCACACGCTTATCACGCTGAATGCTAGCAGCTAGTGCGATAATCCACACGCTTATCACGCTGTATGCTAGCATTTGGAGTAAAATCCGGTTTAGATCACTAGAAACTTAAGAAAACGTAGGGAAGGACAGCTTTTGGGTAGGTGCCAAAAGTCGGAATCATGAGGGTATGTGGCGATTGAGAGGGAAGGTGAAGTGAGGAAGGAGAGTTAGGTTAGAATGTTGCATGGAATTAGGGCGTATTTCGGGTTTGGGGCATGGGCACTGTTCCGGGCATGCGCCATTTGCGGATGCCCAGAACAACACGCAACACCAACCTCGAGGCATGCGCCCCATGCGACAGTTCGTTTGGGCGCCAAAATCCGCGCCAAACAAAATACTGGTAACACACGTCGCGGCCAATACGGCCGAGTCGTACATGTACCCCCACGAACAGCCATCAGCCGAGAGTCCGTCTGACCCCACCCCAGCCACCGTCAAAATTCCCGGCGGGAAAGGTCACATTCAGATCTGCGCGGCTCCACATTCCCAGCCAAACCCACCATCCCAACAGCGTCCTTCCCACACCAGGGTTGTTGCATCCCACAAAAACACAAGCGCAACAAACTTCCAGATCTGCATGACACAGTTTCAACCGACGAACACCAACAGCCTCATCACCCAGATCTGTCAAGCACAGAACGTGCAGCCATGCCGCCACGCCGTAGCACCCGTAGCAAGGGAAAGGAGACAGCATCCGACGATGAGCCTATGGCGGACCCTCCTTACGTCGTGTGGTTAAAGGAGCAGAAGAAACAGGGGAAGTCGCCCCCCTCCATCAAACGCATATCCAAGACCAAACGGGACTCTGCGGCCGCATCCACCAGCGGCGCGTCACGGCTTGCTTACGAGGATGGCGCCGATACCGACGTCAGCGATGACGACCTCGAGGAGATCGTCTCGGAATCGGAAAGCGATGACGACTCCGGTAACGACAAGGACACAACGGACGACGAGGAGGGAGAGTCCGACGGCGAAGGGAGTCGCGACGATCGCAGCACACGAGCGTCGAAGAAGGAGAAACGACCTAAACCGTCAAGCAACAAGAGGAAGTGGTCAGATGCGGAGCTGACGACCCTCGCCGCCGCCAAGTGGACTACGAAGGACGATCTCAAAGCGATGCAGGGCAAGCAGGGCAGCCAGTATTGGAGGAAGCTGCACGCCCACATCGTCGAGGGGGAACCGGGGTGGAACCGCGACGAGGGGCAGATGTCTAATGCGTGGAAACGCCTCGAGAAGCTTTACTTCAAAACGAAGCGGGGAGAATCGGCAAGCGGAGGCAAAGCCGTGAAGAAGAAGCCCTGGTGGGAGTACGTGTACAACTTGAAAAAACACTCGGCCAAAGCTAAGCCCCACGCCTTGGACGGCGGTGGCGCCGCCAGCGTTGACGTCGCGGCGTACGCAACTGTCCCCGGCTCCAACGACCGGGAGACTTTGGTTCCGCCGGCCCAGGCGCAACAGCGTGGAACACGCCGCCAAACACCAGACATCGGTCAGTGCTCTGATTTCATGTATGCGCCTACTGATTAGGTTATATCTTACCAATGCGACAAATGTGCTAATACTCGAGCGGTTTAGTGTGTCTCTTATACAACACACTCATTTAAACGTCAAGTTTCCA